TCTTACATGGTTGTACAGTTATAATTATATAATTATATTCTTAATTAGTTAGTCCAACGGTAGGTTAGCATTTTTTTAGCAAATTTCTGGCTAGAAATCAATTTGGAATCATATTATTTAATAGAAAATTCCCTAGAGGAGAACACGCAATTTTTTACCTCAATTTCTCTGAGTTTTACAATAACAATTCAATAAAAGAGTAATAACACAACATAAATTAAATCATCCTACTTACAAGAATCAATGATGAGCACCAATAAAATAGAGAAAAAATAGGTAACTTAAACACATGAGTCACAAAGAATTCTAACGTGGAAAACCTCTTAATGTAAGGGTAAAATCCACAAGTCATTCAGACCAAAGAAAAATTTTACTATGATCAACAAAAGGTACAAGAGAGTCTCCAATGAACTGAACATATAGTGCTTACAATCGCCCAAAACAAACCAAACACAATTGCTTAAAAATGAGAAATAAGAAGACGAAAAATCCCAAAAAAAAATAGAGCGATTACTGTGAGACTCATTTTGCCCACTCCAAGCCTCATTTTGACAACTCAACCATTGAAAACAAAGAAACACATCCTACAAACCGACCGTAAGAAAATAAACGTGATTCAACAATGAACGAATCTCCAGTTACAAATTAAAAATTATTGCTTGGGGTATGAATTGAATGACAAAACTTTTTCTTTTCTCTTCTTTATATTTCTTTTTTGTTTTCTCTCAATGATTAGTCACTCTCTCAATCCTAATTGAATCCATCTCCACTTGGTTAAGTGAGACATAATGGGTTTATAAATTTGGGTCTATTCTCCACATAGGAAGGGAGGCAAAAACCCAATAGTTCCTCCCAATGTCTTCTTTTGGTTTAGGCGTCTCATCTTAGGTTCATTGCATTCTCCATTTTCTCATTAACTTGTTGTGTTTAATTTATTAGTATGATTGGTTGTTTTTGTTTTGATGATGTTGAATGATTTGGTGAGATTTTGTTTTTGGGTAACCATGGTATTGGTACAAAGTATTCACCATCAAAAGTAGTGGTTAATCTCCACTAAGGACCGTGAGCGCACACTAGGTAGGTATTTTCCTCCCAACATAGTTCATTCCATACTCAGTGACTAATCTCTATTAAGGACTACGAGTGCACACAAGGTGGATATTCCCCTCCTGACATAGTTTATTCCATACCTAAGATTAAGATTAAGATTCGAACCTTGAACATCTTGATTAATGGACATAAGTCACTACCACTTATGTCAAGCCAATTAATCTTTGTAACACTCTAAATTTTCTAAAATTATGAAAAGCATGTTTTAATTAATTAAATGAATTTTAGAAAATAATTCAAAGAATTTAAAAATAATTTAGCATTTTAAATTAAATAATAAATTCTTGTGAAATTATTTTGTATAATATTATTAGGAAAATATGTATTTTTATGATATTTTGTGATAATAAGTATTTGGAGAAAAAAATGTATTTTTATTATAATTGTTTTATGTATTTTATTTTTTTTTTATAATTGTGTTGCAAAAATATTATTATTTTATATATCATTATGTTTTGATTAATTAAAGAGAAGGAAGTATGATTGTGGTTTATCTTATTAACTAATGGGTTAAATATAGGTTAGAGTTTTTATGAGGGGTTAGCATCAATTTCCTTTTAAGCTTCTCATTTCTTTCTTAAAGCTTTTATGCTCTCTGAAGAACTTGGAGAACCAAAGACATCTAGAGATCATCCTAAAGTTCTGCATCCTTTGTCTAGTGCTTATTGAGATAAAAAGGAAGTGAGTAGTCTTGCTTTGGACCTAAGATATATGTTAGGTAGTGAGATTGCCCTCCAATCTTTCTTTGTTGTATGCATTGTCTGAAGGAGCAATCCCAATTTCTAATAATAACTTGTAATTCTATGCTCTATGTAGTTCTTTGGTATTCTAATTGGTGTTTTTGATTGGTATGTACATTTAGTTTTATGTAATTATTAATCTTGTGGATCTTGGATTGCCCATGGGTTCTTGTGGGAACTCTAGGGAATGAACTTTTTGGGTTTATATGATATGATTGAGATGAGTATGTGGGAATATATGAAATTGATGGTATAGTAGAGTAGTATTATGCTTTAATCGTGATTTTTATTGATTGGTTTTAAGATTTGGGGTTTTAGTTTTGTAATATGCAATTTTTGCACATTCTACAAGTTTCTCATGAACTAGTGTGGTGTCGGGCACAAATTTATGGTGCATGGCATTCTTATACATAGTATTGTTTTTTCCTATGGTGTTAGGTGTTAAATGGGACTCGTCGGGCACCATGTGACATTGTTCTTATGTAGTTTAGGGTTTGTCGTGACCACATCCACACAAGGTGTAGGTGTGTAGAGAGGGTTTTGTCCTCTTCGTGCTGGGCATGATAATGTTAGAATTAGATTTTATGATCTTCATTTGAATTGTTGTCCTATATGTTAGTTTTCCAATTCCGTTGAAATCACTCAAAAAAAGCATCTAGAACTTAAGTTATGATCAAATTAATGAGCAAATGTCAAATTGTCAAATTTAGGTTAAAACATTGCTATTATGTAATTTTTAAAAATAGTAGATGGAAAAAATAACTCTTAAGAACATAGAAGTTGTAGATAATTATTTTAGCTTTCTAACAGACTTAATATCAACTTGATAGAATGTATAAATCTCTAGATAATGTGCTTGGACCACACCAGGCCATAGAAGATTAAGTTATGAAAATATAGTTGTGAGTGGTGATGATGAATGACTTTACCTTTAATTGCGTGATCTTATGAATGAGTTAAGGTACTTATGTCAATGTTTAGGAAAGATAAATTATAGAAGAGAATAATTGTGAATAAGTGAATATGGAAGTTGATTGTTAACAGCTTAAGTTGTTTTGTAATAGCGATGCCTAAGGAATTGATGTGTGATATCAATATGTTGTGATAATCTCTCTAGGCTTGACCTTATAACAATGGTTGTGAAGGTTACACAAGTTGTTTTTGTCTCACTTATACATTATATAGCCAGTACAGAGCAATGAGTATTTACAAGAAAGAATAGATTTACAGAGAGTATGTTTCTGTACAAAATGTATCTATATGTTTGTTCTCTCTATTATGCATATCATGTATGTGTGTCTCTTTTTTTCTTGAACTTTGAATCTTTTGATATAGTTGCTTATAGAAGATGACCATTACAAAAATTAGAGTCCAACTCATAAAGTTTGTTTCGTATATCTTCATCGTTTTTCCTTGTGATGGCAGGTAAACCATTCAACTCATTTAATATGAGTAGCACATGCATTTCACCAAGTGATACCTCTTATTTGATACCAAATGGAGCTTGTAGAAGTAATGTCAACGTAGTGCAACAACAACAGTGACTTTATCTGTTTTTCTCCATAATTTTAGGGATCTTTGTCCTTGGTCCTAATGAAAAGTATGATCTTATTATATTTAACAGATTTGTGAGTTCCAAGATAATTTTATAGTTTGATCTTTTAAGGAATGAAACATGCAAGAAGCTTTTGTTGTTAGTCTCAATAAATAATAAATATTTAATATATATGAAATAAATTATATGTTTTGTCACATTTATAACATTTTACAAACGGTCAACGTCTTACACTTTGTTTGATAAGTGTTTTCAAAGATATTTTTTTAAGATGTTTTTTAGGACATTTTCTCTTTATAAAAATGTTTTTGTTTATTAGTATTAAAACTCTAAGCTCAAGGGATCCAAGACTGTCTTTTGACTTAATAAGTATTCATATGATAACAGTCGTTAATCACTCACTATAAAAAGTGAATTTTTATGTTGCATGTTGACCTATCATAGAATATGTGAACATTCTATGTTATTAGGATCTATGTCGTGTCTAGAACTAACATAAAATGTCCAAATCATCCAATATAAAAAGTCTCTCACACAATAATGTTACTACTATTTATTACTCAAATAATTTATTTCATAATATTTTATCTTTTATACTTTCATTCTTATCCTTATGATTTTGATATATTTTCATTTTAATCTTTTCCCTAAATAGCTATGTTACCATCACTTCTTTTTCAAATATCAAGTTCTCTCTTCTATCTCACCTTTTATTATTTTAAAAAAAAAATTACTATCAAAATATTATTTAAGACACTTTTTTATTAATTAAAATTTATTAAAATTATAAATAAATAAAAATTCAGTAGAAAAGTAGAACACACAATTTTATAACTTCTAACGAATTCCAACTAATAATATTTATAAAAAAAATAGATAAAAAAAATATATTACTCGTATTTTTCTAATAATACTATCCTCTTTTTAATATTTGGAGTTATCATTTTCATATAGTATTGTTTATTTTAATTATTGCACTATTTATTTTATTTTTTTAATACAACATAATATCTTTAAAATATTAATAAAAACAATATAAAAAAATTTAAACCTATAATGCATAATACTACCTTGAGTCCTTTTTCTAGGAAACAGTTAACATATATTACATTATCATTTGTTTCTTAAAAAAAAAATAAATAAATAAATAAAAAAAAAACAAGTAATTATATTTTTCTTTACCAACAAACATATAATTTACAGAAAAATTATCCTTTAGTATCATTTTACAAAACAAGACTATAATTTATACAAAAATTATATAACAATTAATTTTACCAAATACTTCTATTTCATTACATTATTTTCTACATATTCAATTAACTTATAAGGAGTAACTTGTAATTTTAAGCTATCAGCTAATTTAATAAATTTCTAGCTTATTTGTAAGTTGTTATTGCCAAAGAACCTTACTCAAGCTTATAAGCTAATCAGTAAAAATATAAACTAACTAAAATGAATTGAATCAATTGATGAACACTCCTATCATCACTGATGAAAACAGGTAATGAAGCTGCTTGAACTATTCGAAGTGTATGTTCGGGAACATGTTTGCTTCATTACAAACAGGATTTCAAACATTCCCAACTAGAAAATAAAAAGCAATATTTTGTTGCTTTGACGTTGAATATGATTTTTTTTCCTGTTGATTTATAAACCAAACATAGACATAATCATTCAGTTCATTCCCCGTCACCATCCTTGAAGTTAAAGCTCATAAAAGAAGTTCATTATGTATTAGTCTACAGACCCTGCATTCCCTCTACGAAAGGTCAGCAATGAACTGCTAAAGATGCCAAAAAAAAAAACAAAAAAAAAAGATTTTTGTGATGCACCAAGGGAACATAGACCTCAAGTTCACTTCAGCAAGCCCCAGAAACAATGGATACACCTCACTCCTGAATCTGAACAGGCTCAAAACCCCTCTCAATTGAAGCCTGCACAGCATCCAACACCAGTTGAGTTTTCCTACTAATTGTTGGCCACTTCTTCTCAGGTTTTGAGTTTTTGAATTTGATATCAGCCACCAAACGGGCAAACTCACTCACCATACGAGCCTCCTGAGGGATATCAGTTTTTATTACATGCTTGCTAGGCTGTGAACTCCACTTCGTCACAAGGTCATCAAAGCCTGATTCTGTGGCTGCATAAAATGATGCTTCCTTCTCCTCATAAGGGATAATGAAGTCATGTACATGCAGTGTTCCTTTAGTTCCAACAGCAGTTATATCCATTGTCAAGTTTGTCAAGAAGGAGCAATGGAAAGTTGCTACTTTCCCATCTTCCCACTGTAAAGAAGCCCCACATGACAGTATCACCCCAGCTTGATTAAGCTCCGGATTGCGTGAGGCAGTTACAGTTTTCGGTAGTTCATAGTTGGCAGCCCACAGTATTGCCCTAACACAATACCACCCTTCATCGCCTAGAGAACCAAGAGCATCAAGATCTGGCTTCACACGAATGTCATTCTCGAGGAAATCGGCATCAGCAGCAAATGTAAAATGGGTGTGAATCTGTGCAAGTCAAAATGAAATGATGTATCAAGGTAGAATATCAATGCATAATACAGCTTACCCCTTCCCCAATATTCTAACATGGCCAAGAGTCTAAGCCTGTAAGGAATGTCTTTTAACTTGTTTTGTCATTCAACATCTGCTATTTAATGTCCAAACAATATGCATTATTACATGCACACATCAGCAAAAATGTGGAGAATAGTGGACGGTCACATTATTTAAAGTCCCTTATTTATTTACAGGACTGAGATTAAATTAACTGTCACAAAACTTGCCAAGAAAAATACAGAAAAGAAATCCTTAAAATTCGATTGTCAATAAAGAAAGTAAAACAATTAGAGAAACCAGAATAAGGAAGCAAATCAAATTTATTTAGATGAAGAAGCAAGACAGAGAAGGTATCAAATATGAGGTAAGATAGGTATCAAATATGAAAATTAAAAATAAATCGGAAGTCATTTACACATTTCTATTCCTGAAATTTTTAAACTTGCTGAAAACATTTCATGGTTGCGAGAGACATCACTTGTATGTCGCTCTATGTTATTGACTCTTAATTTTGAATCTGGGTAATATTTAATACCCAAATCTCATATACGGTAACAAATAAACAATACAGATTTTACATTCAACTGAACAATTTTTATTTCCTTGAGCATGAACCTAACTTTGCATCTTGTACTTGGGGCAAAGATATTATGGCCCAAAAGGCCATGTGATTTCAACAAATATGTCAATGATGATGTACCATTGAATACTGAATAGGAAGCAGCTAAAAATGAAGCAGCATTTAGAAGACAATGAGAAAATACAAAACTCTACTTGTGCCTTTTATTATATTTCAACAAATTACGATATCTTGATCACTCTCAACAAAGCGATAAAAGTCAAGATGAGATTTAATCAATGAAATCAAAACTAAGCCAAAACTTACAAGCATTGTGAAACGCAAGCCAAAAATCTAATTACTATTACCTTAAGGGGTTCAAAATTCAAATCATCGGATGAAACAAATAAGAAGACTAAATACGAAATCAAGTATTGCATCTGAAGCCAAAAACCTTCTATGAAGCACCAACTTACATTAACCAGAAAAACCTTCATCTTCTCATATGCTTCTAAACTTTCCCAATTTATAACTTTATCTATTTAAAGATCAACTCCCAAAAGCTTGATGTGCAAACTTAAAATGCCTTTTATATCCAACACACCCCCTAACATGAATGTCAATTTGGCTGGAGATGGACAACGTATAAACCCAATTTATCTGGTCCTGAAATTCAACTTTTCTATAGGGGGGCAAGAGGACCGAAACCAAAACTTAGGCTGTTAAGAAAAGGCTTATAAGTGAATTTTATAACTAACACTACAATTTTAGGTCAAACTAATCTGCAAACCCTTGTATTCTTCAAGAAATTTTAAATCAGTCTTCATAGTTCAAAACTAAAAGCCAATTGGGTCCTTCCAGAGACTAACAATAGACTTAGATTAAGGGATCCCATTTGAACAAGTTTTTGAAAATATAGCGACCAAATTAGTTTCTAAAACTATTCCTATTTAAAAAGTCCGAAAGGTACAGTCATACAGGGACCCTAAATTTTAGCTAAATATTATAACATGGTTTCACAATTTTAGGTTCTTACAGCAGCTTTAAAATAATATTTACCTAAAAGTGTAAAACATTTTTAGCTGATGATGATGGGAAATTCATGGCAGCTTTGTCACATTTTTACCAATAGATACTTTTGATGATCCTTTGCACCAGAATCTTAGCTGCAGCATTCTTAAACAAGGCCTTAAGAAGGCAAGGCCTCTTACAACTGCATTATTTAGTTTCTAATTCACTATCTTAATCAAAGTTTCCTTCCGGACACATCCATTTGCAAACCAATGCTCCTTATAAGACAAATGACTTGTTTGTTAGAAATATACAGGGCCCTCACCACACTATCTCATATGTGTGTTATGTGTTGGTCAATTTTAGATCTAGGGGGCACTTATTTTAGCAGTGTAAGATGGCTTCCTATAGAATAATTTCTTTGCGGTTCTTGCTAAGCACTGTGGGCGTCCTTATAATAGTGAGTAGTTTTCTAAGGTATACAGTATGCTATGCTACAACAAAGGGTTTTGGTAAAAACAATGAGACTAAATGTTTTAGACCGTGTGCAGTATATAAAACTCTCTAGTGCATCTGATCAGAGCAGAACACCATGCATGTTGTGAACCCTTGTGGCACAAGGGTTTTATGGGATTGGATTTTTTATTTACAGCATCTTTTAGGTATTCTGCTCATGTTTTGTTCAGGAATCAGGAGTATTGCCATTTCTAATATTCATCATGACTGATAAGTCTTTCTGGATTCTTGATTCTTTGTGTTACTCATCCTTTAAAAACAGCCTCTCTGCTGTACTTTTCCTTGTGTCTTACCTATAAATTTTATTTCAATAAATAAAATGAATGCTAATTCATATGGGTTCAGTGTTATGAGTCGGTTTGTGGAAAATACTAAACAGAATGACCAGAAGTTAGTAATCTTTTAATCATCGGGTGTAGCGAAAAAAGATACACATACACTTAGAATCGAAAAAATTATTCAATTCAAACCAAAATATCAAGAAAAGGGACACCAATACCCATATACCCATACCATTTTTATCATTTAAAAATCACCAACGATTCAGAACACAACAAGTAAAGAAAAATGAAAACAGATAAAAGCATAGCCACTGAGGCACCTTTTTTAGGGGGAGGGGAAATAATTGATGCTAGTTTCATCACCATTCACCATCATAATTATTATCTTAACACGCCTATCTTATAAAAATAAGTAAAGTGCAAAACATATGAACACGTGTTAAACCCATCATTCCAAACATCATCTCCTCTGGTCTTCATCTTACAACTAGCAGCAAAATAATCAATCATATTAATGCTAGCAACTGAAAAAGACATGACCGGAAATGAAGCAATATAGCCCTGTATAGGGCTCCATGTCAACGTTGTTCAACATCTTCAGATATTTCAAGTCCAAAAAATTAAACACATCCAAGACAAATGCAGATATCTTCAATATGAATCAGCAAATGCAACTGACTGGTAAACAGACCTACAATTGAAACATGGCACCCTGTGTATCTATGTTTATGATAAAAAGTTTCATTCCATCAACCAATGATGTCCCTCTTGAGAATAGAATGAAGTGTTTAACAAGCATACACAGTTGGTGTGAAAATTTTTCCACTGTGAAACTAATCAGAAATCATTCTCGTCTCAATACATGACTTTTTGACTTTTGTTGTAATTATTATAAAAATCAACAATCTTATTGAATATGATAGTTTACAATTAAAATCTGTTAGGATAAACTTCTTCAAAACATTTTTAGAAAAAAATATTTTAAGTTTCTCTATAAACTAAAACTAACTTATGTACAAGTAAAAAATAAGTTTATAAAAAAATTAATATAAAAAAATTACAAATTAATTTATGCATAATCTAAATTAACTTATAATGCATAAGTTAACTAATTTCATTTTCTTTTTTATAAGTTTTTTCTTAGAAGAACTTTTGAAGAAGCTTATAAAAAAAACGCCCTCTGACGTAATTACGCAGTCAGTCCACAAAATGCTTATTTTATAATCATATTAATTCAAAATAAAAGAAAACCGTTAGATTCAATTAACAACTGCTTCCCAATCCAACTTTAAGAAAAAACAAAAAAGACCTTTACTATGCAACTTTGTAATTAAAATCAAAATAAAGTGAAGGAATAAAAGACATTTTTTTTTATTAATAGAAATTACAATGACAACACCAAAACAAGGTTTGGGTTCAAATTTAAAACCATGTCCATCCTACCTTGAATTTAAAGCATATGGTGGTCCACTCCCTTGGAAAATTAATTTTTTTTAGTAAATATATAATAAATTTTAATTTAAAATAGTTAAAAAATGGATTTAATTGAAAAAAATTATGAGAGAAAAAAATCATTAGAGACATAATGATAAATATTGTGAGGTTTCAATAGCCTATTACTTTAACTAATGTACTACGTTACTTAAAATTTAATATTTATATATAAGTATAAAATAAGAAGAAGAAAAAATTAGCCCCCTATGTTTGGCATTTGGATCAGTCCCTGATTAAGCCAATCTCATTATTAAAAACAAAATAAAAATAAAAATAAAAATTAAATAATAAAAATATATTGATCTAATATCCATTAGTATATATAAAAGTAAATTTGATAAAGAAATATTTTTTCTAATTTTTTTAAATAGAAGGGTAGAATGGTAAAAAAGAATGCGAAAACCAGGTTACTAAAAAGATATCCCATTATATATTAGTACAGATAAAATACATGAGAAAGGAGATTTCACTTGCACAAAAAAAATGGGTAAAAATAAACATGTCGTGACAGTAACATTTATTAAGCTTAAACAAAATTTCCAAAGAGTAACAAAAATTACGAAACGACAATGCTGAAAAAAACAACGCAACACCGAATTTAAAAACGACGAATACCGATCTAAGCTGGCCAAAACGCTGCGCATCGGAGAGAAACTCCCGCATGGAAGCCGTGCGCGGGTGGTGCATCCACATGGTACCGTCCATGAACTGCACCCCATTGGATTCGCACGCCTCCACGATCTCATCGAACTCAGAGGCGGTAAGAGCCACGGGCTTCTCGAGCAGGACGTGCTTCTTGCTGCGCGCGGCGAGCACGGCCCAGCGCACGTGCAGGCTGGTGGGGAGCGGCACGTAGACGGCGTCGACGTCGGGGTCCTGGAGGACGGCCTCGTAGGAGC